GATTTGATATAGCAAAACTTGCGCCAACAGCAATTCCATCGATGAAATTATGAATTGCGTCACCGAAAATGATCACGAATGCGGTGCTTTTAAGGCCGCACATTACTACCGGTTCATCCGCAATACCGTTGCTAACACCGCGATGACAATTATCAATACTCTTTCGACTTCCACTTCAGTGTTTAACATTTAATTTTTATACTTCTTACAAAAATGCTTTAATATTGAGGAGAACTAAATTAAATACGAAAAAAACTCATCTATTTGTTCACATATAACTGAAAATAGATGAAAAAACATTTTAAAATTCAAAAATCATTAGAATATGAATTTCGATTAGTGAAATTAGAACATGAAATTAGAAATTAGAACTTTTTAATATATATCTCGATAACGAAGAGTAGTAATTACTACTCTAAGTGTAGTAAGAAAAAAAAATTAAAAGAGTAGTAATTCACTAGACTAATAGTTTATGAACTTTTACCGTGTGAACATTTCTTTTGACTTACGTTTCATAATTCGGCGAATTCTCTTGCAACAAAGTGGAAGTCTTCACAACTTTTGCAACTTCCTGAAATCAAATTCGACCATTTTAAATCTATAATTTTTTAGGAAAAAAAAATATATATATTAATTTACATTTTTCTCTTTCCAAACCGGTGAAGCACTGATGAATTCTAATATGTACAGAACGTAAACGGCTCCAATTACAGCTGTCATTTTCAGCAACATTGAATGATCTTCGGAAGCAAATTTTTCATCTTCAAATTTCTGTAAATATTACAATACATCAAGCATTATATAGAAATAATGAAATATTTGCAATAACTGTTATCGTCATTATTACTGAAGTAAAAAGTTATCAAAACAGTGAAAGAAGCTTTAATACTACATTAGTAGAGTAGTTCAATAGCAATTCTAAAAGTTCAGAACGTAACCTTGCGACCATCATGGTAATGATGTTGGCTATGATGAGAACCATTGTGATCCATTTCATGATTATGATCCGTATGGTTATGATCCATTTCATGATTACGAACTGTATGGTTATGATCCATTTCATGATGATGATGATGATGATCCAAATGATTATAATTCATTTCGTGATGATGATAATGATGATGATCCGAATGATTGTGTTTTAGTTGAAGATGATTGTGATGGTGATGCTGATGACCGTGATCGTGATGCAAATGATCATGCACACCGACTACCTTAATGTTTTAACACAGGCATAATGGATTTTATTAAATTCATTAGAAAGTGAATTTAATTGCAACTGTTTATCAGTTTTACAGTTTCACAGCATTTTTTTATGCACCGAAATACTCAAATTTTCAATCATTTAAATAACATTTAAAATTCTACCCTGCCTTAATCTGTTTGGAATTATTCATAGAAAGTTATCGATTTATGATCAAAAATTAGCAGTCAAGAATCGGTCTTTTTCTTAGCTTACAAGAGTTACCTGTGGTAAAATATGAAGTAAAGCATCTGAGCTCAATGTTGCAACAGCTAAAGCAATAAATATTTGCATCCATCTGTTTCGCCATTCACCTCTGATGATAGGTAAAAATATGAGACCATTTAGAGATAATAGTGATATTATAGTAATCGATATAAAACCATAGAAAAAACCTGAAATTTTCAAATATTTGTACCAATTTGTTTTAAAATTTTCAAATTAAAATGAAATTCCAAAGCATTCTTTTAAAGGTATAAAAATGAAAACATACATTCAAGTTTGAAAATACTTTCATCATTCATAATTGTTGAAAATAAATCCAACGGCACAGTAAGGTAGTTTGAAGGAAATGGAATGGAATAACAAACGAAAAACTTCGTTCACCTTTGCAGTGATGAAACCTAAAATTTTGAATAAATTATTAGCAATACGTATTCGATTTGCAGTACAATTAACATTTAATGCTTCATAAAACTCATACTTTATATTTGATAATATTTTGTACGAATTCACAAAAGTGGTATCGATTGGAAAACATTTTAAATAAACGAGTGCTTATATTACTGCGTGAAATGAAATTTTACAAAAGAATCTTACTTTTTCTAAATCTTTGAAAAACAGTGCTATGTATGAACACAGAAATTCTCGAAGAAATCCGATGGTAGCGATACAGTGAAAATTTCGTAGAGAGATTATTATGTGAAAAAGGTAGAAAAATAATTTTTTAAATGAAAAAAAAACAGAAACATGCGAGAGATAAGTTGAAAGCAACGGATTGATAATTTTAGAAATGTTCCCTACAGTTCGATGGAAAGATGAGAAGCTATGAGATTTACAGTTTACAAAGCACTGAGCGGAAAGGAAGTAAAGAGAAAAGCACATCACGTATTTTAAACAATTTAAAGCTTAATGAAAATAACTACTTGTAATTTAAAGACAACGAAATGAATTATGAAATAAATTAAATATTTGGGGAAAAGAATTTCTTTTTTTTGTATGAGTGATCAAAATGAAAATGAAGAGATGGAAAAAAAACTGAAAGCCTAATGAAAGTTTGCGATCGAAATTATAAATTGTATTGCGTAAAAACTTAGGAAAAATCATATTGCATAATTAATTACAATTGTTTCAAATCACGAACATACAGAGATTCGTGCATGAAACATTCTTCTGTTGAGCATTTTATACATCGAACGCATTTTCGAATTCTTCCAAATATTTGTTATTCTTAGGATTAAAACTTTTAATTCCAAAACTGAATAAACTTTTTTTTCACTGAATTGTTTGTAGTATTGGTTAGAAATCAGTCGGTTGCATAATGTTGAATTTAAAATAATAACAAAAAGAGACAAAATCATATAGCTCATACATGCACATATATATGTACACATTCACACGCATACGCACATACGCACACATACACACATACAATTCACACGTATACACACATACACATTCACACGCATACATATACACAGACAC